TATTACTATGTAATGTAATGCCTATTTGAACAACTATGTCTTTTATATTTTTCCTAAAATCAAAATCTCTCGCCTGCCGGCTGGCGAAACTGGCTGTAACCGTGCATGGCTACAATTACTGGTTGGTCGCACCGTGCACGGCCGATTTTGCCGGTAGGCCGCACATTTTTTTTTTAATAATCAATTTTTAATCATTATATAAATTATATAAAAAATACTTTTTTTCATAAATAAAAATTAATTTATAATACTAATTAAATTTTGAATAATGTACAAAATAATTTACAACATATTAATTTCTAAGTTATAATTTATATCATAATAATTTCTAAATTTTAACAGGATTTCTGTAATAAATAAAAATATGATTTGAAAAAAAAAAAATCTGGCCGGCCAGCGGTACCGGTCGTCCACGAGGTCGACCGGTCGATTTTCTTTTTTCTTTTTTTGTTTTTGTTTTTTTAGTGTTTTGGAAAACAATCAAGAAAAACGGTTTAGGGTGTGGTAGTAAAAAGGGGCGATGTCTAGCAGCAATTCACAATTATTATTACAACCAGAAGAGCAATAGGCTCGAAAAAATATGTATGTAGCACCCCGTTATTTTATATCTTGTTATTATAAGTATTGTTTAATTTAAATAGTATTTTTAATTTATCATTAAATAAGGTAGGATTTAAGTTAAACTAAATCAATAATATTTGGTAATATATAATGGAAGGAAAATAAAATATTAAAGTTACCAATTTAAAAGGAGAGAGAGGAGTTTTAAAGAGGAGATCGGTAATAATATTTATCTCATGTGTTTCTTCACCCGAACAGTTATCTCATAATCTCGGTGTCATCATTAATTCTTCCATATTCTCCTTGTCCTTCTTTCCATCAAAAGGAAACTAAAGAGGAGATCGGTAATAATATTTATCTCATGTTGCATTTTTTGTGCTTGGTTTATCCTTCTTTTTCCCCAATTTTAGGTGTTCTATTTGGTTTTTATTCTGTTTAGTACTTTGTTAAGTGGTTTTGTTTAGTTTTTTTTTTTTAATCTTTATGTGTTTTTGTTTGTGTGTCGTTGTTTTCTTCGGGTTCTTGTCGTTATTGTTGTGCAAGTCGAGAGATTCGGGAGGATTAAATTTCAAGAATAAATAGGTTGTGCGAGCATAATTAATTAGAAGGGTTCGTTGGCGACGCATAAAAAAAAGTTGAACTCAATTCTGAGTTCGGAC